CGAGGCTCATACACTCTTTCCCAGTACGCTTGGCTAAAACTGAAATGTATCTGTGAAAGTCAAGTTTTTTTTGAAACTTTTCCCAAGTTTGTAGCAGAACTCCACACACACATACACAAATTGTTCTTCCAGCTTTCATTGTCACTTCGGTACTTTTCCGAAGAACAGCTTGTCCATGTGCTCACTTTAACAGCTGTAGCTCACAAACTAAAGGTCGGAGCGAATCGTGGCAAATGAGTTTCTTGCCCAAGCTTGCCGCTATGTGCGTCTTGACGCTGCTGCACGCTCTTTCTGGTGATTGGCACTCTATTAGAGAAATTATTTTTCTTTTTGAACACACCTCATATATACAATTGTGATTCCAGTATTACCTGTCAGAGCAGGCAGCAGAGGAACTGCAGGTTTCGCAATGCAAAAGCTGATGGCAGGCAAACACGGGAAGCAAGCGCAGAATAAAGACATGCTGGATGCTGTCATAGCCATCAATTAGACCCGACTTCATCATTCAATCCACCTGATTATTGATTGACTTATGGCCCTCCTCAAAAGACTCAGCTGATATCAGCTCCTCACTAACAAAACATTGTCTCAGAAATGGAAGTATCAAAATACTGTATGTATTACAGCAGCCTGTGAAGCAGTACATTAGCAGAATTGAAGCAGGTTTTGAGCAGTAGTTATTCATTTTGGAGCAGGAGACATGCCTTTCAGAACAGCTCTACAATGCCTAACATGAAGTACACATAGATTAAGAAAACAGTGTTGGTCATTGCACTTTACAAAGCACTATGGCATTGCATTCTCAAAGTCTTCTAGCAGGGCAAGGAAACAAAAATTTTCAAATAGTAAGAGACAGGGCAACATTACAGCACCACCTTTAGTTTAAATGCAGTTGTCAGTGATTTCTAGGCATTTTATACAATGTCGCCCATGCAGAAAGCATAACCTATTAAAAAAAACAATAATGTTTCAATAAATTTGCATACGTCAAGAAATATTCAAGCGAAATCAGCACCCATGAAACATACAGTGCAATTGCTAAAACTGTAATGCTATCTACTGTTTTAAATCCACAGCGACATTCATGTTGAACGAGTGGCAATGGACAATTTGCAATAATCTGCAAGGTGGCTTTCCTGTAAGGCTTGTTTTCCAACCAAGAACTCTTGTTCACAGTCTGCTTTTCTCGCTCATTGCGCTTTAACCTCTCCGAATTCCAGTGAAGGCACGCAAGTACAACAAAATGTCAAAGAGGGGAAAGGCAAAAACACAATGAGCGATAAAAGCAGTCTGTGAACAAACACAATGAGTGATAAAAGCAGTTTGTGAACGAGAATTCTTGGTTGCAAAACAAATCTTACAGGAAAGCCACCTTGCAGATTATTGAAAACTGTCCATTATAACCCAATACATACGAAGCTAATTTTATGGTCAATGCATCTTTGCCAGCGCCTCTCACCGCATGCAAATATATTTCAAAAGGCAATGATGTTTTCACTGCCTTTTCCCCGGGAGTCCGCGTCACCTACAATGTTATAGTCGCAAACGAACTCCATGGTCAAATTTATTTTTCGTAAGTAAATACAAAAAGTACAAGAACGCACATCTTATGTATACAGTCTAAACCTGCAATAACAAAACCCCGCGAGTATGAAATCCCCGCGGCAACAAAATATTTCCGGATCCCCGGCGAACGTTCGTAGAAGCCCATGTATTACGTATCTCGCGGCAACAAAATGTTTTTGGACAGCGATCCCGCAATAATGAATATTCTGCCACGGTGTGGGTCTTATTTTGCCCTCCCACCAAAGGTTCACTGGTTGAAAATATGCTTGTATGCATGTTATGCGCACTCAAAATTTGTAAACATCTGCTTCTCCACATCGACGAGACAGAGCTCACAAACACGTGCTTGGTTTTTTTTCCATCGAACTGCACTTCCGTTCTGCAGCCGCTCAACCAAGGCGTAATTCGGAGCGTCAAGTGCGCCTACAGGGAGAGGTTGATCCAACGTCTGCTACTCAACCTCCGTCACAAGTGTCCCACCGACGCCAACTTGTGCATGGCTTTTGAGATGGTGGCCGCCGCATGGGTTGCAACATCCCCGTCGCTGATTGAGAACTGATTCAAGCACCCGGGCTTCACCACCACCGTGCAAGCATCACGCACGGATTGCGCTTCGGCCTCACCAGACAAATATTTGGATGAAGGTGCACTTGACGGCGAGAGTGGTGGCAGTGCAGTGTCTCTATCCCTGACCAACGCCTGGGCGTAACTTCGAGCCATCGACACCCCAGATGAACTCACCGTTGATGCGTTCGTTCGCGCCGATGACAATGTAGTCGTGTACAAGGAAGTGACCGACGAGGCCTTTATCGAAAGCGTGCGCGAAGCTGACAACACCGAGAACCAAGAAAAGATGCACGCAGAGAAACCTAACCGGCGGGTTGTTTTGGATCTGCTGGACACCCTTCGCTCCTTCTTCGGTGAACATGACGACGACGTAGCAATGGACCACTTTTTCCAGTGCGAAGGGAGAGCTTTGAAGTTGTTGCATGGCAAGGGTTGGCAAAGTAAGTTGACCGACTTCTGGCAATAAATTTTTGCTCTGCTGGCCGTATCACTGTTTTTATGTCTCATACTCGTGGCAACGAAATTCTCTTTTTCGGTTTCCCTGGCGACTTTGTTATTGCAGGTTTCGACTGTACATGGATAAGGCACGTGCATCTCGATCATTCGAACTTACCATTGCTGGTTTGCAAGTGGCCGATATATCTTATTGATGGCAGAAACAATAAGGCCTTGACATGCCTCAGAAAACTGGCGGGAGTTGATACACAAACTGGATAGTTTTTTATGCCACTGACAGAGCTACATTGTTTCCAAACTGCGCCATGAAAATGGTGCCACTTAAAAGACGTTAAGAAGAGAACACAGTGCAGCACTATTGCAATTGAAAATTAAATTTCTTTGTTTCATTAGCATAAGCATGAAGCACTTTGTTGCGGAAGACTGTCATAATTTTCATCAAGCTTGCGCAAATATTCGAATGCGTTGAATATCTGAATGAATATTACTGTACTCGAAGTCATTTCAATTCAAATTTAAATTGTAGAATACTTCGAAGATTTAAATGAACGAATAGATGTTAGTCCGTATGTAGTCCCCGGTAAAGGTGGTTTCACTGTGGTAAAGGGGTGATAAGCTGTGAAAGTACCTATTCAAATGTATATTAGTCCACAGGTAACCTTATGTAAACGTAGTCATATTTGAAGTTCTTGAGCAAGTGCACGTGAACAAAGATGAGAAACACAAACAAGCACAATCTAACAATACTGGTTTATTCTTTTTTAATATGCTCACTTGAAAAAACCCTCACACTTCCACAATCTGGTCAAAAAGCTTGTGAGCAGCTCACATGGCACAATTTGTGATCACATGCTCACGTGGGTTCATGTTTTTTTTTTTCTACATTGTGCAGATTTGAGGGTTTTTAAGTGAACGTTTTCAAAAAAATAATTTGGTGTTTCTCATCTTTGTCCTCATGTGTTAGTGCAAAAACTTCAATATGAATATGTTCCAACTAGGCCAAATCGCAGTTTTTCTGCAAATATAGTTTCACTACAGCGAAGGGGTACCAAATGAGAAACTTCTCGCCAGAAAAAATACACCCTGCCACAAAGCCCGGCTTCAAGGTTAAATGAACATCTTACTATCCTACCGGTTCATCATATTCCAAGTTTAAAAGCTTGTTAACCTTAAAATACGAAATGTTTTACAAGCTGTCTCTTGCATTTTAACGGAAGTAAAATCCTGTCACTATTCACAGTTGTTTCGACTTCTTTTGAATCAAAAGATTTCTTTAGAGGGGGGGATAGGGGGCAACACCCTTTATATGGTCATTTCCCCCCCCGTGTGCCATGGCAGCAAAAACTTTTGAAAAGAGGGGGGGGGGGGGGGGGCACAAGCTCGGTGAGCACTCCATGGCTACACCACTGCTTTTGTGCATGCCTTGTTTCCATTTTTAAAAAATATTGCACAGGTTAGTTGGGTCATGACAAATATGTTATTTCCTTATAACATATGGTATATACATTTCGAATCTAAATTATTCTACCAAAATCGCTATTCACCCCGAAGCTCAACTTCACTATTTACACAAGCTTAATTTTCATCACGTAGGGTATTTCATGTCCAACCTAAATTTAACAACACCCGTATCTTCTTCAGCCCCAGTGACCCCATTTGGGGCCATTGCTTCAATAAGTGCAGCTAATTTTGATGCAAATATTTTTCTGAAACTTCAAATTGAATTTCTCACATGGAAAGCATTACTTTAAGCTCGAGATAGCACTCCATGTCAGTCATATTTGTGACATGTGACACACGGCAAGTTTAAAAATGGCCTTTCACAGCAAACGTCCACTTTCTTGTCTACATAACAAAGTAATTAGATTTTCATGGGGTTTCTGGTCATGAATTTTAATGCAGAATTAGTATTCTGAATTTCAGTTAACAGCTGTTTAAATTAGTTACTTAACTGAAATAAAAATTTGTTCTATTTTCTTGCGTGCTTAAGAGCAAAATAAAGTTTGAAACAAATCAATCTCGAATCCTTTTTGAGACTAAAGCATGACGTGAAAGGGTGTGCTTCTTGGCAGTGTCTGCTTCTATTTTGAATTTGCAAGGTAAAACACTTTAGCTCGCTTCATAAATTTTCGTGGTTATTTCTGCCTTCACACCAACAAAAAGATGAATGCATAGTGACATAGGTCATAGCGGACAATATATGCTCCAAGACACCTTCAAAATTTTCAGCATGTCGGCACAGAATGGTACCGAAATGCATCATTTTACTTTCTGCAACATCTTTGAACGTCATCTACAGCACACTTGCAGAGCACCTCTTTACATGAAAAGCATGACTGCACCATTTATTACGAGATAATGTGCCCTAGTGAGCTCAACACTACAAGACAAAAAGCATGCAATCCACTGACCTCCAAGCGCATGCTTTCTCGACTGATCGGCGCGCTCCGAGTACCTTGCAAAAAGACAGTGGGAACCACGATTACTGGCTCGGCCAACACACAAACGACAAAAATTTCAAGGCATTCGAATATTTCGGCTTCTGCACTACAGTGGAAGAGAAGATTAAGCCCACCACTGCCAGTGACTCAAAGACAATTTATTGCAACAAACCTCTAAATTCAACAATGAGCGCTATGATGGCTATAGACTCATTTGTAACAAAAGCTGATGGAAAAATATTCAATGAAAACTAACACTATGCACACTGCAAAAAGCTATTTACCATAACGATCAAATAAACTTTAAAAATTAATACACTGTCTTAAAAAGGAATGCTGAAGACTGTCTGCCTGGTTGACAACCTGGAATGCTACTCCAGGATTTGTATGAAACGAATAACAGCACGCTGAATGCAAGATCTCTATACAACTTGATACAATACAAATAAAATCCAATTTGCATTATCGCCACAATCGTGACTACACCCACTGCAAAGCAGTCTCTCCCACGTTTCTCCAATGAAGTCGCACCCGCGCTAGCTTAGGCTGTCTTGATCATCTGCCTGCTCAGCTTTTTTTGCACCCTTTACTCCACTTGCATTCTAATGGAATCCAGTCCGTTACCAATAAAGACTATAGGTTACCTAGCTTTCCTAATCAAATGCTCTACTTATGCCTATTTCTTTTTCATGATTGCAACAAAGTCGTTAACACCAAAGATGAGCGAGCATTCGAACTCTGACTTTTCAAACGAATCTTGCAGTATTTAAATGCACTTAGACACTAATTCCGATTCAAAAGTTTTAAAAGTATTCCAAACGAACAAAGATATGCAAATTTTACAAATAAACCTTTGTAAAGATGGTTTCACTGTTGTGTGTGGGTGCCATGCTGTGAAACCACTAATCCAAAAAAAAATTAGTATTGCTGTGAGGCAACACTTAGAGGTTTATTTACATACCACAGTCACCTCACACCCATATAACACACACGCTTTCATAAGTGTGAGTCATATGAGCTTATATGAATTAAGTATAATATTATTCAAAGTGAAATTTAGCATACTACATATAACTAGCTCCCTATTGCTATACACATTTAGCTAAAGCTCAAAGTTGCTTCTGCTTCATTCCGAACAACAAAAAAAGAAAAAGTGACATTCACACATGTCCAGCCTCAGGTCTCAAAACTTATTTGAGTCAACACAAAAATATATATTTTTTTAAATACGTTACAATGAAATGAATGAAGACTGAGCCAAATGAAAAGGTTCAAAAGTTTTAAACCTCCTTATTTTGATGTACATTCATTATTACTTTTTTTAATCTTCCCGATCAAATGTTTCATAATCAAACCATACACTTCTAAGAACTACTCAACAGAAAATTATTTGACCTAAACTATGTTAGCTGTGGACCTCAACGTTAGTATTTGCCCATCCCTAACTAACATGCAACGATTCCTCAACCATGACATTCAAAATGTTTAGTGCAGGAAGTGCAAGGTAGGGACAGGGGCAGAACAAAAAGCATGAAAATCTGTCTCGAGCTGAGCAGGGTTCCAGGATTTATTTTTGTTGCACGACATGTGCCCAATTTCGCCACCAACCGAGAATTTTTTTTGTTTGAAAAGGGTTAAACCTTTCATGTGTCTGCTACACAATTACTAACCAATTACAAGCATGTCTACAGCTAAACAAAACGCTCCCATCGGTAATCCTTGAAGCCGCCGAGTGAGGCTCTCTGTCATTTCAAAGAACTTCAAGAGACAAACCTCGCTTTCCGAACAGAGGCACGCGCTAGGGCCAGCTTCCGAGGATTCCGGGGCTCGTGGGTGCGCAAGTGGCGCTGAAGGTGGGCCCTCTGCGTGAACGAGTTCGGGCACTTGGTGCACTTGAAGGGCTTCTCTCCGCTGTGCACCCGCATGTGGTCTTTGTAGTGGGTCGAGTAGCGCGTCGCGTACGGGCAGAGGTTGCAGCGCAGCGGCTCCTTGCGCATCCCATTTTTGAGTATGACGCCGCCGCTCTCATCAAAGCCTTGGATAATAAATTGCTTGTTGGGCGATGACACCTCGAACTCTTCTACATCTACTTCTTCATCCTCATCTTCATCAGAAGTGTCCAACGTTATTGAATCTGCGGGAGACAAATAAATGCCACTGCTTTTTCAAGGAAACCATGCGAGATTCTGAAATGCCTACGACACATAAATCCCTGCACATTAAAGAATTGAATAGACAGTTCCCGTTCCTTTTGTCAAGTGCAATGAAAACTATCATTCACGATCACCAGCGGTTACGTGGAAAGTGTGATGCTAAATTTACACTTCTTTGCTCTAGCAAATGCTTCCCTGTCAATACTTCCAGCTTTAATTATGTTTTACGGTACGGTTTCACCCTTCAACACCATTATACATGCAGGGATCAGTTGTCTATCTTTTTATTACTGGACTAGCACGTCAAACAAGCGCACAGCTGCTTATTCAATGTGAAGTTTCGATAGACACAGTCATCGGGATGCAGAAGAAAAAAAGAGCACAGAAAATCGCAGCACTTGAACAGAGCGAAAATGCAACAATGGTATATTAAAGTCAGTGCACAAAACCATTTCCACAGGCAAAACTCTTCCTTCACTGGCGACTTCTTTCACAAAGGCATGCTTTCTAATAAAACTGCCCCACCACACACACATTCCTTTCTTCTCTTAAAAATTTTCACATTAGTTAAAACATTTTCTCAAACATGAGTCTACCTGTCGCCAGTTTTACGAGTGTTTAGCTCTGGGCTGAGCAACACGAAATTTCTTATTTGCAATGACAATAATGATGAATTTCAGCAAACCCCAACAGAAAAGCAGCATGCTCACATAATTAAATATTTAAGCAAACATTAGTGAGAAAAGTCCATGGCAAAGCACGAATTTTCAGTCTTTGTCACTTCACAAAATCCATCTAAAATCTTGCTGAAACAACATTATGAGATGAGCCATAATGGAGGACTCCAGACAGATTTACCCCATCAAAGTTTACAATATTTCACAAATTAATTACTATGATTTTCTTGAATCCAGCAGCCACCAAAATGTGACCACTGTCACTGGGAGTATGCTCTCCAGCTTAGCGGCGAGATCTAACTTGTCAAGCAACCGTAACGAATTCTTAAACTAATGAGCCACGAAATTGCCACAAGAAATTGATTCAAGAAAATAAGTCAACTCCTACAAATCTTCCACAATCGTGTCAGCTAATTCTCTGCCTTTACTACAATGTAGCTGAACACTCCTCTTTTCTGGCTTTTCGGTGCACGGCCCACGTGCTCTACAAAATATCCGGCTCTTAATCCCTGCAAGCATCAGCACAACACACTGCAGACACCCCAGATCACCAATTGAACCAATGCACAAAAACAGTTATCAATGCTGCAGCATGGCAAGGAAGGTCAGTTAACGAGCCTTGTAAATGAATCGAGCAGCAACAAGTCACAGTAAAAAACAGATGCCCGACGTCCCTCGTGTGTTGTCTGCCACCTCTGTACACCATAGACCCATCCTGTTTTCGTTAATAATTTTGCTTTTTTGGGGACAATGAGCTCCATCCTGTAAAATATGCTATTTCCATTTACCTTATTCGAATTAAATAGAGCTCAAAGTAAAAAAAAAATGGCTAGTGCAAAAAGCTCAAATGCAGACAAAATTCTGAAAGCACTGCATTGAAACTTCTATTAGCATTGTGTCAGTAAACTCTCTCATACTTCATTTCCTCAAGTGGGGTGAACATTAACTCAATTTTGGGTTCTTTGGCCGTTTCAGATATCGATACTGGTGCATTTCTTGAAAGCAGCAAGAGTTAAGGTAAAGAAATTTAATTCAGTGCAAGACAATATACTGTTTGGTTATTATGACATTTAACAACATTAACTCTATGTAGATAAATTCACGGGGTTGAAAATCGTGCTTGGCGACAAAGCTGCAACAAGTGACCTTAAGAATATTGTACTATGCACAACTATTCACAAAGGAATAAAAAAAAAAGAAGAAATGCACTCCACCCGTACAAGCTAAGATTTCTTGCTGCACTCGGAACCAAAAACAAGAAGCCAGTTGTGAGCAGTACCAAAAAAGAACACAAGAAAACTATGCATACTTAAATAAAATGATGCATAGTTGCTATGGTGACAAAAACTGCACAAACAAAAAATCAAGTTATCGACGCACACAAGCGAAGCATCTGCTACCGCACTCAAAGTCGTACTCATTACAATGAACGGCCAACACACTCGGCAGGGTAACCTACATTAATATGACAACTACAAGTGTTGCTGCTGATTTCAGCTAGAGCAACGCAATCAATCGACTTGCCAATTATTCAGTTTCACATCCTTTTGTGTCTTGTCATACCAAAAAAAAAAAAAAGTTTAGCACTCTTATTTACTACATGTACGCCTTTTTAGTCCTGTGTGAAGAAAGCTTCAAATCATTGGTATGTTGTAGACAGAACTTTCAACAATGCCCTCCTTTCCCTCACATCGGCCCAGAACACTAACGGCACGTGCTCGTATGGCTGCGTATGTGGCGCCGACAGTTTGCAGCCTGCGTGAACGCGGCAGGGCACTTGGTGCACCTAAAGGGCTTCTCGCCGCTATGCGTTCGAATGTGGTCTCTCATGTGGGTCTTGTGGTGAGTGGTGTACGGGCAGAGGTTGCAGACAAACAAGCTCTTCGGCGTCTTCTTCTCCCAAGGGGTAGGACCGCCTTCCACGGAAGCACTTCCAAAGACCTGTTGAAACTTGCGGGGTCTGTTCCCGTCGGCCTCCATTGCCCCTTCGTGACTTTCCCTAGCAGCCCACAACCCTAGAAACGATCTGCTCTTGGGCCGAATGCCATGTCCCGATTCAACTGCAGAAAGAAAAAAAATGTCCGTGCTATATTGAAAGAACCAAACTTTCAGGCAGAGTAAGTATGGCCATCCAAATCTTGTATGCCCAGGAAGCGACATTTCTCCGCCACACGACAGAGACAAGTTGCAAAAAGGGGGAGAGTATGCTCATGCCCTCGAAGTGCTACCAGCTGGACCCATTGTCAGCTAGGCCGCTTTTTCTATAGGATGTCAACCATATTAGCACACACAAGAAAAACAGGCCACGTAAGCAGGCAAATCTTCCAAAGTTAACCAAGCAGTAAACTATCAAGGAAATAAAACTTTAGCAACATGCCACATGCCCCCAACCCATGAGAGAAGCATGATGTGGTTTATCTGGAGTGCACTAATAATAAATGATGTTTGTAAGTGGCAACAACCTAGTAGACAATGGGCTCAGCTGCGTCTGCTTACCCTTTCCCTTTCGCCACTTGGCTCAGTTACACGGCGCTGACACACAGAAAAGTCGCCACTCGCGCATGCCAGTTAAAAATTTGGCCAACTGTTTGTTGCTCAAAGTCACTGTGGTTGTTCTAACATCGAATAAAAGAAGGCTGTGTACTACTAGAGCTGCGTCCTACAAAAACATGCCTGCAATGTCAGCAACAAACGCGCTGCTTGTCCCTCTCCGCTTTACTGCGCATTCTTTTCTCCTATTGAGTATTGCATCTATCTTCGACAGCTGCAAGACATGATGGCTAGCACTCTCCCACAATGCTTGGCCAAAACGTGGCAAAGCATATTTTCTGCAGGAAAGAGCGACACCGCAGGCATGCCATCAAAGGAGGCATGGCTTGAAAAAAATATTTTCTTCACTTGCAAAACTGCATACGATACGGCTCCCATGCTTGCTCAATTTAACAAGAAATGAATTTAACTCATAAACTCGTTATTTCTCATAATTGCTCATCGAAAAAGACTACAAGCTATAATTACTCATAATTAGTCATGTAAAAGGCTAAGCTATAAAACCTGTACAAAAAACATGCCAAGAACACTTAGCAAACTAAAACAAATTATGTCCCAGCACTGTTAAAAAGAGAAAAAAAGACTACACTAATCAAATGATGAGCTTACAATCAACATGTGATACATATACAAATAGTATCAGGAGGCATTTTGCACAGCAAAGGAAGCGCTTTGATACAGCAATGGAAAGTGGTAGTATCTTATAAAAAAAAAAGCAAAATAACATGATTAAATCAAACTGCTTGAACTAAGAACTCGAGCAACATGCAAATGTTTCAACTAACATTTTGCGCATTATGGATAATAATTACCCAAGTAGGCAGGTGTTTTGCATTTTCACTGGGAAGCTGCCATATTAAATTATACTGCAACTGAGCCCAAGGCACAACTAAGGCAGCTTTAAGTAGACAGCAAAGAACATAGCAAGGTGCTTTGTTGCCAAGCAAGTAGATGCCACAGGCAGTGGACTGGGGCAAAGTCAAGTGAATTCGGTTAATAAAACCAGCAATAGTATCCTGAAGACTCTTAGTAGTGACATTCTATTGATATGTCTGTATTGTCAGGGTAGCAATTGATTAAACAGTGCCGGTCAATCAGACAAGGGGTGCAGGATAGGAGTGTTGCATAAGACAGCAGAGCAATACATGCCTAGAAAAGGGACAAATTTACACCTATCAAGTCATGTCATCAATAAAAATGTAGCAAAAAATCTTTCTAACTGGTTGTTGCTGAAGCCAGCATTCCAACAAGTGAACTTTCCTTCAAGGTAGGGAACAGTCACAGCCTTTAAAAGATAAGTGCTTGTCAAAGCGTTTTCTCCAGCGACAACCTGCGTTCCTAACATTTTTCATCACTTCCAAATTCCAGCTTACCTGAAAAATTTTAAAATAATTGCATAGGTAATATATGGCACCACTGTTAAATCTGTATCCAAAATTGAATGTTTGGCACTGAACCACTTCTAAGTATGTTTGTGTAATGTGCATATTGAAAAGAGATCAAAGCTGCCGCTGCCAACTTAGGCACTGCTTTACATTCTGCTTGCTAGAACGAAAGCGAACACGGTCACTGCTGTTGATATGTGGGGCTTTAACGTCCCAAAACCACCAAATGATTACGAGAGACTCCATAGTGGAGGACTACGGAAATTTTGACCACCTGGGGTTCTTTAACATGCACCCAAATCTGAGCAAAGGGGCCTACAACATTTCCGCCTCCATCAAAAATGCAGCCGCCGCAGCCGGGATTCGATCCCGCGACCTGCAGGTCAGCAGCCAAGTGCCTCGCCCAATAGACTACAGCGGCGGGCCGTGGTTGGTCACTGTTGTTAAAGATGAAAGTTAGCATAGAAATGTGGACTAAGTCTGCAGAAATGGTTCACAGGAACAAGGTAAACCACGATTTTATGCAACAATTTTATGTGACAGAAGGGGCATAGGCTCCTGGCTACTGGAGGTTCAGACTCCTTTTAACAGACCAGCACTTTCCACAAGGATTGGGTACTTTCACATCCGCTCAAAGTGAGGGAGCAAGGAATATTAAAGGTGTTTATTCTAGTGTTCTCTAGCAGGGAAGATTATTGTACGTCTGAAAATGTGTAGCCACAACATGAACACAATAATGGCTGTGTACTATTATAAGTAGCAGTCTTTAACTTTCTTCACAAACAGAGTGGCAACCCAGCGTTTGCTGGTAACCTTTCTGCGTGTCTTATCTCAATCTGCAGTAATGCAATGGCGCCTACTTGGCCAGCTATCAGCCCTTTTCATGAACTCGCTCTCCTACTGGAGACACAGACTAATAACACATCCGCGAGGCCTCCTTCAATGGGGTGGTCAATCAAGACGTCCCAGCAGCTCATCCTCGTCGTGGGTGCAGCTGAGCACCTCGTGCACTTAAAGGGTTGTTCCCCACTGCGAGTTTGCATGAGGTCCATGAAATCAAACGAAGCGCACGTTGCAGTAGGGCAGGAATGGCATGCGAGTGGTCCCTCGGCATTCCAGCTATGCATGTCTTTGGGCCACTCCCTCCGAAGCCTCCCTGAGGCAAGACTTCGCCCAGCCTCCTCGGGAAGGTGTGCTCAGCTGCGACTTGACCAGTGAAGCATCTATGCTGAAAGCAGCTGAATCTTGCTTCACCTGCAGACCCAAATATAAGTACTACAGTGAAGAAACGTTCAGCCAATCACCAAGATAAGTGCAACAGTTCCCACAAATATGCTTGCATGCTCACATCTTATAATATCCTTGCAAATTGAATACACACCTTCGTAACAGGTGTGTGAAACAATTGATGCACGAAAAGAAGACGCCTAGACACAGCCAACTCAAGCTGTGTATAGGTGTCCTCCTATACACCCAGGCGTTCGTGCTTCTCAAGCATACACAATACAGCCCAACCCCTCCATAGACTCCTTCCATCAGAACTCAGGTACAAGGCCACGACAAAAACAGAGGCAAGTGAAGGAAGCTTACAAATGGTTTTGTTTACAATTTTTTTTAACGCCAAGAGCTGCTTCACCAGCAGAGAAAACATCTCTCGTAGCATTTTTATTCCATTTTGTCATGCTGCACATTGAATATTATTAATTTTGAAAGCAAAGAGCAATATCACTAACGATAAACGTCTCTCAATGCCAACCACTCTAGCACTTACCCTTCAAAATCTGAATTAAAAGCATTTTACGTTTCACTTTACCATGCACCAAGCTCGAGGACTTGCACGTAAATTAAATCATTAACAAGTGGAATCGCTTAATAAAGATTTATGAATCAACCTAGAAAACTCTTGCCTCCTTATTTAAAGAAATGTGCTTTGAACAGATATAGATTTAAACATCAAGGTGGCAGTTTTCTTCCCTCATGGCTTAGCACACTTTTAATGACAGTGAGCCCTTTCCAAAAGGTTATTAAAAATTTTCTTACTTTCCCAACGACTGTGCATTGTCAGATGTTAGTGAAATGACAGCTGCCACAGTTATGCAAAGTTATGCAAGCGGATTTTATATTAGAAA